GCTCTCGGAAGAGGTGGCCTGGCTTTCCCAGGCCAGAGGCCCGCTTCTCTTCATATCCAGTGGGGACTTTTTTTGAAGGTAAATGCCTTTTCTCTGGGAGAGGGAAAGGGGCTGCCTTTGAAGCAGTGGGGGGGTGGGAGAGAGAGCGACAACCCCCCCTTTTCCAGCCCCCTTTTGCTCTTGCCCCGTTCCAGGCCTTTTGCTTCACACGTCCAGGGAGAGCAAGAAGAAAGCCCCCAGCTTAGCCTGGAGGGGCTGGGGGTGGGCCCAACCTGTTCTGGAAGGGGAATTCGCACAATGGTGCGGCTGGCCGCGTTTATGGCCTGGCTGAGGCCCCATTCAGGACTCGGGAAGGTGGCAAAGCTGTCCTTTCCCCCTTGAAGTGCCCCTCGCCCCTGGGAGGGGGGCTCGCAGGCCGGACGGCAGCCATGCTTGAGGGGCTGTCTGACAAGCAGCTGTCTGCACGGTGCAAGGGGAGGTCCCCCTGCAGCGGGAACATGAAAGGGACAGGCAAGGTCCCGCGGGGAGAGGGGCTTGTGGGCTGTGGGCTGTGGGGGGGCGTGGGCTGCTTTTGTGAAAGGCTTGAAGGGGGATGAGGAGAGAAGGGGGCTAGGGGGGCTCTGCTGACCTGGAGCAGACTGCCAGGACAAGGCTGCTGCCAAGAGGGGCGGAGGGCCTGAACCTGGGCCAGGAGGCAGGGGCTAGGGCTGCAAGACCCCGCACCCTGGCAGGGAGGCCAGGAAGGGGCAGGCCGGGCTGGCCCCCACCCCAGTCCCTTCCAGTGTGGAGTGCAGGGTAGGGCCCAAAGCCTCCACGGGCCGACTGGGGCAGCCAGAGGCGGAGGTGAGCGGCACGCACACGTGCACGCATGGAAGGGTTACCCCGAGGAGGCTGAGCTTTCAGTCTTGGAGAGAGCACCTGGGCCTCCCAGCTCCTCAAAGGTGATAGTTCCTACCCACCCCCTTCGAGGAGACAGAGGGCAGACAGCTGCTGATCGGGGTCTAACCCTGTCCAGATGGCAGGGATTGGCCTGGGATAAAGGCGGAATTAGGGACTAGGGGCAGGGACGGGGCAGGAAAGGCTGTCCCAGCACACAGCAGGCTCCAGGTGGAGGGAGATAGGAACTGCTGACACAGAGGGTAGGAAGCAGGCAGGGCCACGGTGGTAAGGAGCCGAGACAAGCTGAGACGTGGCGGGCTTTGTGTGGCGTGGGTGCACAGCTCCCCTCCCTGCCCCGCCGGCTGGCCAGAGTGCATGGTGGCACAGTCAGGGGCCTCCGGGAGCAGCCGCTGGGCCACTGTGGGCCACTGCCGATAGCCCTTCTGGCTCCTGCCTCCACCTCCCTCCCTAAAGAGGCCCCTGGCCCCTTAGAGCGGGAGGGACTCTGGGAGGGGACAGGTTCCTCTAAGACCCCTGCGTGTACCCCTTGGGTGAGGACCGGATGCCGGGCATGGACTCAGGCCCACGATCAGTCTGCAGGAGTCACAGAGAAGGGCCCAGAGACACCCCCACATGCTCTCCACGGCCCCTATTTCAAAGCACCTACCTGACGGACCAACTGCTCTGGGGGTGTGGTCGGGACTTTTGCCCCGTGGGAGCGGGGTGCACGGGAAATCTGCTAGTTCCAGCTAAGGGAGCTCCAGGGAGGGGCAAGCTCTGATCTGGAGGCAGGGGCCAGGTCTCGGTCCCTATGGGTTGTGTCCCCTTGGCACCTCCTCCAGGCCACATGGAGATGGACCAGCTAGCTGAGACAGTTCCTTCCCACTGCCTGCCTCAGCCACCCAGTCTGCGCTGCATCACAAAGTGTCTCCAGGCCTGGGCAGCCACCTTCACACTCCAGGCAGGGAAGGCCATGGCCACCCTGCACCCTGTTCTGCATGACAGACGGCCTCGCCCACCACACTCACCTCCTCGCCCCTCTCCCCATGGACAGTGGTGTCGCCCAAAGCAAATTGACACTATTTTTCCCTTGGTAACCGCAAAGGGGGAGAATCACCCGTCTCCTAATTTTAACCAGTACGTGAGGGACCAGGGCGCCATGACTGACCAGCTGAGCCGGCGGCAGATCCGCGAGTACCAGCTGTACAGCCGGACCAGTGGCAAGCACGTGCAGGTCACCGGGCGTCGCATCTCCGCCACCGCTGAAGACGGCAACAAGTTTGGTGAGACCTGGCCCTGATCCCGGGCCGCCCGCAGCCCTGCCCAGCCCAGCCCGGCCTCCTGGTCCATCCCTCATCCTGGGGCAGGGCTGGGGCCCTGAGGAGCAGGGCGAAGCCCCTGGGAGGAAGGCCCCAAGGGCGTGCTGGGGGCTGGCCTGACAGTTCCCAAACTCCCTCACCTGAATGTGGAGGTGAGGCTCGCTTAGGTGGGGGGGCCTGCCGGACCCCTGGCTGGCAGCCCCGATAGACGGAGGTCTTTCTCCCGCCCTCCTCCCCGCCGCAGCCAAGCTCATCGTGGAGACCGACACGTCTGGCAGCCGAGTGCGCATCAAGGGAGCCGAGAGCGAGAAGTACATCTGCATGACCAAGCGGGGCAAGCTGATCGGCAAGGTGAGGCCTGCGCGTGCGCAGACGCAGCTCAGCAGGACGCACCCCCCTCCGGTCGGTGGGCTGGCCCACCCACCTGGGTAAGGCCCTGTGCAGAACTGGGGCTTCCCATCCCACTCTCAGCACCCACGCCGCCACACTCTGGTGCCTGCTCGGCGTCCCCGCCGCTCCACCAGCCCTCGGAGTGGAGCAGCTGACCCGGAAGGCTCTGCGTGACCTAAGCGTGTCGGCCCCCACCCCCACCATTTAGGAAGAATCTGAGCTCCTGCAAGGGCTCACGGAGGGCTGGAAGTGGGATGCTCGGGAGAGTCGGGAGCTGCCCCAGCCCAGCGGGGTTCACATGCCCCAGCTAGCAAGACCTCCCTGGGTTCCCTCGTCCTGTGGAATGGGCCTGGAGCTTCCCAGTAAAACGGGCATAGCCCCGGGGGAACGGCAGGGTCCAGTCGGGGCTGGCGCCCTTGTTTTCATCAGGGACTGTCGCCTCCTCTGCCCCACCAGCAGCACCACCCGCCCAGACTGGAGGAGAGCTGCTCTGTGGGGGGCAGGGGGATTCCGCAGGGATCTGACCCCAGCCAGCCTGCTGGTCCTCCCCTGCCTCTAGCCAGGGCGCCCATCGCACCAGGAAGGGTTCTTGGGGCTCACAAGCTAAGCCCCCAAGGCAGGGCGCCAGGCAGGGTGAGTGGACGCACCCCTCCTCTCCTCCCGTGTCCGCAGCCCAGCGGGAAGAGCAAGGACTGCGTTTTCACGGAGATCGTGCTGGAGAACAACTACACGGCCTTCCAGAACGCGCGGCACGAGGGCTGGTTCATGGCCTTCACGCGGCAGGGGCGGCCCCGCCAGGCCTCCCGC